ATCGCATTATACGATAAAAAATAAATATTATATTTTATCTTTGTAATTTGGGAGGGGTACAAGAAAACGAAACGCTATCATAGAAAATATTTTATGATTTTGTTAGATTGGTTACTTGCTATTCCACTTGTTACACTACTAATGATATGTAGTTATCGGATAAATTTATATAGATGCATGTTTTGTAAACATACAAATTGGTGTTTCGATGCATTTTGACTTTTACATAATATCTAATTTAATCCAAGGAAATTCGAATATTTTCGTAAACAACATGAACGATCAAAACGAAAAAAGCAAGATTAGATTTATCTCGTTAATTAATATCTTTTTTTTTTAAAATATATGTTCAATATCATTATATTTTTCTCTCTAATAGTGTTATTTCATTTTTTTCAAACTACATTAATTTGTAGTGGCCTCAAAACAATCGAGACCCAGATTACTGTGGGGGCGAATTGAATTTACCCTCTTTATATTTTTTGTTTTTATTACTATAGTCTTTTTATTTATTAATCAATTATATATAGAAAGAAAGCCCGAAATGTGCTGCACCTTTTGGTATATTTAGATTGAATATCAAATGCAGTTTAAGTTGTAAAAAATCTACTAGAAACAAAAGTAAGATTTGTTTTACTAGAATGTATAGCGCAAATTCAGTCACGTTGTGAATATAACTATGAGTGTCGGTGTAGGTGTGGGTGAATGTGTCACTGGGTTTGGGATTATTTTATATTCATTCCACACTCACATTCACATTCAAATACGCCCATACCCTTACGGACACTCACCCACATCCATCCTGACCTTCACAGTCGCATCCATACAGTCACTGAATTAGCACTATATATTGTAGTAAAAAAAATGTTACTTTTGTTTCTATTACATTTTTTACACCTTAAACTGCATTTGATATTCAATCTAAATATACCAAAAGATACAGCACGTTTCGGACTATCTTCCTATATATATATAGTAATGGATTAATAAATAAAAAGACTACAGTAATAAAAACAAAAGAAAATACAAAGGCGATAAATTCAATTCGTCCCCACAGTAGTCTTCCTGTTCCAGATTTACAACATACACAATACTTTTTTGAGCCTAAGATATTTTTATCGGGCTCAAAAGACACTAGACCAAGTGGGAAACAACAGACTCTCGTCTTACGGAGCCTTATGAAATCGTCTTCAAAATTTGGAAAGTCCATAGGAGTAATTTATTACTCCTGTGTCTTAATTTTTCTATCAATTGTAACATGAAATGAAAAGGATGTTAGTCTTCTTTTAGAGACAAAGGTACATCGCATTAGTCTTATTTGTATCTATCCCATTCATTTATTGTTTTCTTAAGCCTCTTCAACAGAAAAAATCAATATCTTCAAGAAATGAAAACTCAGATACATGCTGACGATCATAGTTTCAATCATGCTATACTTTAAAAACAATATAAGTTTTACATCAACATCGATTTTTTTCGCACAAAAATTTTGATAATTTCCATCATCTACTGCTCAAAAAGACAGGCTTTTGTGTGAAACACGATCTAGAAGAAATACTGAAAAGAGTAGAAAATCTGGGCCCCAACTTCTAGCTCTCGCCTCACACAGACCGTGACACACACATGAATCAGAGACTATCGTAGACCGTACCAACATCACAGTATTTTTTTGAAACACGATCTAAAAAGAATATTGAAGTATAAAGGTAGCAAATTTGAATCCTTATTCCAAACCCTCACAATCTTTATAGTGTTCTTTATTTTGAATAAGTAAATGAATCCTGTTTCACATTTTAATCCCATAGAGAGTACGCTAACAGCTTTTTTAATAAAGACAGAAAGTGTTTTTCATTTTTATCTCAAAACGTATGTTCGGTGATGCGTCTCCAGCAGCTTTTTGTCGCAATACAAAAAAAATCAAATGTTTTTTTTATCTCAAAGATCGTGTTTCGGTCCAGCGACTGTAGTAATTCTGTTTTTTAAAAAAGGTTTAAACATAGAAAAAATCTTTTTCTTACCTATTATTTTTCTTCAAAACTTCGCTATTTACGTAGAATTGCGCATTTTTTCCTCATGATTTCCACCGAATACTCGATCAAACGAGTAGGAAAAAGAAGCAAAGCAAAAAACGCCAACGACACTTTCAAGTCTCAAGTGTTTTCTTTAAGGTAAGAAAAGAGAATTGTCTTTATATCTTAAGGTAGTTACATGCACTTGGAGATGCGGTAGATGCCAAATGCCTACCATTACATATACTGGAATTAATTGACTTTCCGCTAGTTAAAAAGGCATGAAACTGAAAATTTTCTAGCGTATAAATTGTCCATTCTCAATCTGTGCACAAAGCCCCAGCTCTATTGAACGTGCTGACTTCGAGATTCGTTAAATGCTTGATCTGTTAAGTATTTTGTAACGACTACTAGTGAACACATCATAATTATGAACGATTTTAAAACGTCTAAACAACCGATTTTAGCTCGGATACACCTCTCTACAATGAATATCTCGTATCGTGAATACTTTTTTTTCGGCCCCAATGATGTTCACAATAGAGAGGCTTTACTGTAATTTATTGTTTTTATATTTATACTTGTGTTTCTTTTTTATTTTCCTAACTTTTTTAATCAGTGATTATCAAGCAAATATACATCATGTTAATAGTAATTAAAAAACCCTTTTTGCTTGAAACCAACGGTTATTGAATAATTTTTATGGTTTCTCTGAAATTCTATCTCTTTGTTCATTGATATCATATTCTATTGTGTCTCTTAATCGTCTTCGAACAGTAGCAAACTTCTAAAAGTACGGACTCAAGTACTCCCGAGATGGATGAAATCCAGAAGTTTGCCATTTTCGCTTGTACCAATCCGGTTAGAAGTCATGGATGTAAGAATATCATATTCACCCCAAACACTCACACCTTCAAGCTAAGCACAAGCATACTTACACTCAAAACAGATAACGTTATGCATCATGCAGAATATGAAAGATGTTAACTATTTCGAACTTTTATATACCAGTCAGACAATTACGGCTGATATTTACTTGTAAAAATTGCAGCATTTACATGAAGTTCTACTTGAAAAGAGACCAGTTTTGCCCAATCGAATAGCCTTTAGTCCTTTCATCTCAACGAAAAACCTTATCTTGCCAAGTTGACTAAGCAATATTGAACAATTACAATGGGAAGTTCTTGCATACGCACCGAACTCATCAAATCTTATCCTATATCAAATCATCATCTTTTCCGATCTCTTCGAATCCTTCTGAACAAGAAAGATTACGAAGACTTCAATCAACTCAATTCCAATTCCACTAACTGTTTTTCGAATCACACCGGCTAGTTTCTAGAAACGTAAGATCGAAACATTACCAAAAAGATCAACGAACATTATCGAAAATCATGGCGATCATACTATTGATTGATGTTACATATCCTTGTCGTAAACTAAATTTCATCTTAAAAAAGAAAATTTGAAGAACTTATTTTTCCAACCTAATACATTATATATATTTATTTAACAAATTAATTTATTTCACAGATTTCTACATATTACACATAATCATTTTCATTTCTATATAGATATAATTTTCTTACAACAATACACAAGACAATTTTCCTTTATTTTATTCTATTTTACTTTAATACTTTATCTTTTTGTTTTTTAAATTATTAGTGGATAACTTATTCTTGCATAAGGAAAATATTCTTGTAAAGAATCGGAACATATTGGTTCACCGCTTAATTCTAATTCATTTATTTTGGCACAATTAATTCGTGTAGTATCTCTTGTAAAATTGTGTGTTACTCGTTGTAAAGATTCACATTTAATACGAAGAAGAACATTATTTTGGAAATATGTTTTAGTATCAAAGAGAAATTCTTCTATATAATCATCATGGACATTAAGAAGATCAAGTTCAAGAAGAAAATAATATTCAATGAGAGATAAGCTTCGATTATCATTGTTTAATTCATAAGAGTATTTACGATTTTGTGATTTACGATTAATCACAGTTAATTCTTCCATAAATGGAAATGATTGAACAATTCGAAGAAAAAAATCATGTTCAAAAGGATATTCATCACGTAATGACACTACACGAACATAATTGAATAATCCACCGGGAAAATTATTTGTAATGTCACCATAATATGACATAAAAGGTGGATATGTATAAACGTGACATCGACCTAGTTCTTCTCGTGGAAAATAATCAACATAAGAGATAATTTCATTATTTCGAAAGTCAATGAATGTACGTTGAATATCTTCGGTTGATAGCAAATTCAATTTATTACCAGTATACATGAATGAGCGAATATAAAATGTAAATTGATTTAATCTTGGCATATGATAAATAATGTTTTTCTTCAAATGGTTTCCATCAATAAATGTTTCCATAACAAAGGCCACAAGACACAAACCGAGTTCTTCTAGATTTGACATTCGATAGAGAAGTGGTGGGATTAATTCATCGTAATCATATGTTTCGTAATTACAAGATAAAGAAAAACACTTTAGATTTGGTAAATCACCCTAAAAAACAAATTTTTTCTTTCGTTATTTGATAACATACAGATTTTTCTTGTAAAACTCACTTGATTTTGAATGTCATGCGGAGGATGAATATGAGTCAAATCAACATAGAGTGTGTGAAGTTGATTGAAACGACCATCAAGAAGATAAAGACAATCATCAAAAGATTGTATTCTGACATTCAATTTCAAAAGAGTTGAAGAACGAAATGTACGAGAAGGTGGTTCAGCAAAATATAATGAAAGACGATTTTTATACGATGATTCATAGAATGTTAAATGAATGAGATTGATGAAAACAGTGAAAATATAATCAAATATATTTCTTGTTGACAATAGCATTTCGTCATAATCATCATTGTTATTATTATTATGAAGGGTAATAAAAAGTGTTGTAATTTGATTTTTGAAAATACTAGATGAAAGAATTTCATCTAAACATATATATAAGTAGAATATTAGTAAGAAAAAATAATCTGTGAAAATAATTTCAATATATTCAATGAGGGAGTCATCTATAGAAATAAGTTTGATAAATCTTTGATTTATTGATCATCAAAGACAATGAAATAGAAATTTCTTACCAGTAAAAAGGCATCGAGCTGACTCTTCATTAATATTATAAAGACCGAGACCATATAAATTAGGATAATGAGCAGCACGTAAAATATATTTCATCGATGATGATTCAAGATCAAGCCATTTGATTTTATGACGAATTTCAGGTAAAATTTGTAAACAAAATCGATTAAGGATCGTATCACAAGAAATTAGATCGATAAAATTATGTAAGAGCCATTTAACAAAAGTCAAACGACTTGTGAAAATTGGATGGTGAATAATTTGATTTAGTCGTTGATTGACACCTTGTAAAGAATAAAGTACATCTAGATTATTGAGTTTTTTGAAAATAATCATAAGAATTTCATCAGGTAAATCGTTTAATTCAATGCATGAATATTCCATGTTTGTTTTCACTTATTTATTCTTTTTCGTTTATGAAAAGTCAATCTTTATATATATATATATAAATATATACTCATCTGTTCTATTTGACCGATACCGTCAACAATAAAAAAATAACGTATTTTTCTCTAGTCAATATTGACAATGAATTGAAGGAATGAATGAATGTTGTTCTTTCTTTTTCTTATTTGTCTAATATGTCTGTCATATGATAAAAAAATGATGTTCTTTTTTTTGTTTATTTATTTATTTTATCGTACATATGAGTACTTGTAGGATTCAGTTGACACTTAGTTAATATTAAAGTTGATTAGTTAAAAATAGTTCTCTGGTCATTTAGAAAAATGAATCTCAAAGTTTAAGGATAGACTTTATAGCAAAGATATTCCATTTTTTCTTAGCTATAGTGACTTTTGGATCACCTGTATTTTATCATAATGTTTTTGGAAAAATGATTCGCTATTAATAACCAATAACAAAATGTTATTGCTATAGGTAATAACAGCACAACAGTGTCTTTCATTGTAATGTATAGCATTCCCAAAAAAATTTTATTCGCACAAAAAAACTTTTTTTGAAATTAAGATATCTATGTAAGTGGGTGAATAATTTTGAAACATTGAAAATTCTATGTAATTTACAATTTTTTTATAATAAACCGTCAAGTAAACAAAATGAAACGCTGATAATATTGGTATGTGAACTACGTAGACATCAGTAGCTATTAGATATTGAAACTGGGGTTCCTCTAGCTTTTCTTTTTTTTTTCGAACAGTACGCGAAACAATATAGTTCACTATAGATGGGTGAATAATTTTGACAGCCACTGTATATTCTCACTTTCGAGATAGACATGTGATATGCTTTTTTCTTATCCTATTGTTTTTTGAAAATTTTATTATTAATTTGTCATATCATATAGAGAAAAAGCGAGAAACAATTCATAAGAACAAATCGTATGTGTATGTTTAATGTCAATCTAATGTACGACAAAAAAAAGAACTACATCAATAATAAGAGAAAAAAACCAAAAAAAAATATAATTAGTTGAATTGGAAGAGAAAAAGAAAAGAAATTCTTTGTTTGTACAGGTGTACATTAGAATTACATAAACAAGAAAAGATAAAGAAATATGTAACAAACAACATGAAGCTGATTATTTTAACTTTGTAAAGATCAATAATAATGTTATTATTGGCCATCACCAACGTTGCGATTCGATGGTAGTGTTTTTAAATCAGCTAAGATAGCGAGATATACGGAGTTAGTTGATAGAAGTTGTTGTTGAGAATCAGGAACAACTGGTGATTCAAAATTTTCAGCATTTGTTGATTCAATTGCCATTGCTAATCCAACAGGTGTATTATTAATTGATTGTGTTGGTGCTGGAAGTGGTTGACCATCATTTAAATGCATTTGATTAGAAGGATGATGAATTTGTGGATAATGATAAGGGCGATAACGTCGTGATTTCATAGTTGAAAAACGTGTATCTATTTGTTGACGACCATGTGGTAAACCATTAAAAGGATTCATGTCTTGATCAGTTGATGAATTTGATGATTGTAATGTATTTGTCATTCGGAACATGTTACTTAATGATGGTACCATATTTGATGTAGATTTTCGATCACTATTTATATTGAATGATTCATCTTTTGTTAAATTATTATTTGACATCATTACAGATAATGACGAATTATTATTTGTTATTAATTTTGATGAATGTGGTGATGTAGCTGGAGCATTTTGTAATATCATTTGTTGAGAATGATGAGTAGATGTTGTAGAATTAAATGATTGTTGTCGTTCAGATAATAATGTATTTGAATGATGATTTCGTGTTGAAATTGATTGTTTTGATGTTGTCAATGAATCATGTTTATATGGTAAAAATGAAGACGACAGAAGATCATCACTTATTTCACTATCTGGTCGGTATGTTTGATTCAAATTTTGAGTAATTGCTAATTCTTCATTATCCATATCTGAAGAAAAAAAAACATGAAAATAAAGATAATGGTTTTTGAAACTATTATACCAAATTCACCGAATTTATCGAAATTGATTTGTCTTGATGATGTTATTAATTGTACATCGTCTACATTACCAGGTAATGCTTTATTAATTGATGATGATGATAAAGAATCTGGAATAAAGTTTTCACATTTACCAAAGTTACATAAACGTGACACTGTAGATGATTTCATTCCAGATGAAAGTGGATTATTATATAATCCTAAGTCACCACTTTCAGACATTGAAGCCGTTGTAGATATTAATGATGACGATGATCCTGTTGTCTGCTGTTCATACATTTGTTCACTTTTGTCTTCATAATGTTCCGTTTTCATTTTTTTCCAAAATCTTTCTGTTTGGTCTTGTGGATAATGTGGAGGCAATTGTCCGTATGGATCACTTGAACCTGCTCCAAATTGTTCAAGAAAATTATGTGGCCTTGGTCCATTCAGATATTTACATGGTGGTGGTGGTGGAAGACTACTCGTGTTAACTATCATTCCATCAGGTCCTTGCATACATGATGATAACATATATGGTGATGAATGTGGTAAATTGTTGGATGAAAATGATGAATTATTTTGAAGTAAAGGAAATATTGCATTTGGATTTATTGAATGAGGTGAAGGCATTATTTGATGTATATGTGGATATGATGAAGCTAAATTACTAAGATGATGTGGATTTACGTATGATGACATGGAACTTGATGGATTCAACAGATTATGATGAGAATTTATATTCTAAACAGAGAAAGAAAACTTTCACATTGTTTTTTGTAAAGAAAAAAAAACATACTTTATTTTCAATATCTTGTCCATTACCATTGTTTAGCGTCATGATAAATTGATTAGCTAATGAATGTAACAATTCATCTAATTTTTCCACAGTAATATTTATATCAAAATCAATTTGTTCGTTCAAATTAATTAAATCATTCTGAAATTCGAAAAAATTATCTTTTCATTATATTTCATGCAAAAATATTTTGCTTACTTTCATAATAAAACATATTTGATTGTTTTGTTTGAGCATTTGTGTTACAATACGAATATTTTGATATCTGTAATTAACATTCAATGACTGATTATTAAGAGAAGACATGCTAAACATTGATTTTATAGTCTATAAAAGATAAGATATACTCATAGGCAACATTCTAATTTTTTTTCTTACTGCTTCATTTTCGAAAAGAAAGATGTTTCTATTTAGATACTTATGAATGTAGTTGAAAATCCATTTCAATTGCTTTCGTTTGTCTTTCGAATTCATTTTAACTGAAATCAAGAAATGAAAAGATTTTTATTCAATATATAAAAGAAAAAGTTCATTCGATATAAATCATTGTTGAAGAAAAAAAAACAAAGAGATATTCATTATGAATTATTTACTAGTCCAATCTGACATCATTTTCTTTCCTATTCAAACAATTGCACGAGACATATATAGATAGATATTCGATAGAGTGCTATGTGTGATTTATTTCTTTCTTCATACTACGTAGAAATGAAATTCTTTCGTTTTTCTATCCTCGTCCGTCGTTTATCTTTAGATTTCTTTGTTATTTATGTAAGGCAAGTTAACTACTGATTCAACTTTTGTTTTTCACAATGATTCGCACAATCACATGTGCCAACCAGAACATGTTGTATATTAAATACAATATGACGGACACTATCAAAAAGAATAAACATTCTATAAAGTGTAGAAAATAAACAAATGATTAAATATCTTATTCGTTTCATCTTCTCTTCATCTACCAAATTCAATATGATAGCAAATCGAACAGAGTTGATTCTCTTCTCATTTAAGTAAGATTAGATAAGAAAAAACAAAAACAAAGCATAATATTATGATTTTTCCAAATCAACATTTCAAAACTAATCTGCTCAAAGAAGAACCGATAAAAAAAAATAAATCTAATTCTTACCGAGTTCATTGATATGTTGAATTTTTTTCATTTTCTCGTAAATCTTCATATAAACATTGTTTCATTTGTGTCATTTCTTCTTCTCGTTGTTTCATATTATGCATTCGTATACTTGCTTTGTCAGTCTTTAAAGAAAGAAAAAAAACAAATTTATCTATTGAATATTAATCATCTATTTGTTTACTTGTTCTTCATAAGTATCTCGATGCATTTATTGAGATTCATCAGCAAGATTTGTCACTCATCACGAAGACGTTTGTCAAGTGTACGAACAGTTCGACTAATATTTTGTTTTTCTCTATGAAAAAAAGAAAGAAAAATATTGATTTCCATTTGAAATATCTATTTGCAAACATACCGAACTTCATCATCAAGTTGTTCTTTAAGTGCATGAACTTTCTCTTCAAGTGCTCCAAACATTGTTCGAGATTTTCTTTTACCAAATTCTTCGTTTTCTTCAAGTTTTTCACGTAATTCTCGATTTTGTCGTTCAAGATTATTACGTACAGTCTATGGAAAAATTCAATATCGAAATCAATTCGTTTGTTTTTTATTCTCCAGAGAAACTTACTTCAGCTTTTTGATTATTTACTTTTTCAACAGCCATAGCTAATTTCTTATGTTTATCACCAGTTAATTCTGTATTGATTTGTTCTTTTTCTAATTCTTCTTCAAGTTGTACTATGCGAACTTCAAGTCGATGTTTTTCATCAATAAATGCACCTCTGAAGAAGATTAAAAATGTATTTAGTTTTTTTTTTATTATTTGAAAAAACATCAAAATAAATCAAGAAGGAAACAACGCACACTTCATTCGTGAAGTCTTGTGAAGTATCATGGAGCCCTTGAAGTCTCTTTAAAGCAAGAGCGAAAAAGCAAGGCTCCGAACTTTAAAGTACAGGTAGAGTAACAGTGGAGTATGACTCAAGTATGCTTCACTCTTACTTTGAAGTTCGGAGTCTCGCTTTTTTTCTCTTGGTTCAAAGTCTTGAAGTCAGCTGTTTCCTCTTCGGGAATCACTTGACATCACCTGAACTTAGTCAAAACCATTCGCAATCACTAGAGGTTGCTCAGATTCACGTAAATTTGCTCAGAGGCGTATGGACTCACTCAGAATCAGCATAAGATACCAAGTGTATCTGCACAGAATATTACTGTGACAGAGAAGGCTGACTTGCTGACCATATGATTCCACCGATTCCAAGTGACTCCGTTAATTTTACTGATGCCAATGCAAGGAGAAAAAAGTGAGACTTCGAACTCCAAAGTACATTTGAAGTACAAATGAAGTATACTTTACCGTACTTCATCTGTACTTTGGAGTGCAAAGTCTTGCTTTTTCTTCTTATCCCTATGGCTCTAAGTAACACCAAATGATTCTAGTGACTACACTGGCTTCGCTGATTATATGGAGTCAGCTGTTTCTCTCTTGCAATAGACTTACTTTCCACTGCCGAGAGCAGCTAATTCTTGTTGAAGTTCATCACGTTCAGCTTGTGTTTGTCGATGTTGTCGATCAACAAGATCTTTTTCATCCATTAATTGTTGAACAGTTTGTTCGAGTGTTTTGATTTTTGTTTGTCATTTTTCAGCATTAACCAAAGCTTCATTACGAATGACTTTAATTTCTTTCATTGCACATATTACTACACGAACTTGAATCTTTAGGAAAATTAAATAAATGAAAAACAAAAAACACCAAGAAAGACAAGAAACATTTGTTACTTGTAATCGACGTGTATTACATAATGCTTCTTCTTTTTGTTTATTAGCTGTTTGGATTTGTTGACGAGCATCTTGAAGATAAATTTCAAGTTTTTTACGTTGTTGAAGTATTTGTTGTTTAGATTTTCTTTCTTCTTCAAGTTCCATTTCATATTCTTTTCATTGTTTATTTAATGAACGCATACGTTCTTCAATTTGTTCATTGTTTTCATGTTGATATTTTTCCATTTGTTGTTTAAGAGCACCAATATTGACTTCACAACGTAAACGAGCATCTTCAGCTGTTTGTAATTCATCTTCAAATTCAATGATTTGTTGTTTTTGTTCTTCGACAGTTGCCTCTGAAAAAGCAAAATGATAAAAGAGTTTTAGTAGAGAATATTCACTGTAAAGAAAAGAAATTGTTCTAAATTAACAATAGCAAGGAATAGAATAGCGCTGCTTTGTTTAGGAAGTCTAAAGATCGTATTAACATCCATAGATGAGTTTTCAATATATACGTGATTTCAATCTTCAATATGAAGTAAAACAGAGAAACATAGAAACCTCATTGAATTTTCTTTACATTTTAAAAGTCATAGGATTCTCAAACTCTGAAGAGATATGACTTTCGTTAGTTGTCATAAAACTACATTAATGTAGCATACTTTTGAAGCATGAAGTTAATGTATTCCGCTGTTTATATTTACCAACGTAGCCGATAAAAATCTCGTACTCAACCTAGTGAATATCGGAAGATATATTAGTAAAGGTCTAACTGTCCGAGTTAGCTTATTCCGATTCCTGTATCAGATCAGTTCCGAACCTGTCTTAATGATCGTTCAAAAATAAGAATGCCACAGACTAAATGAATCCCAATGTAGCAACTATTGTCTTAAGCTATTTACTAGTAATTTGTTTTTTTGATACAAATTATAACTGAAAAATCACGACAAACGATAAATGATCCACTCATATTAACGTTATTTTTCTCAATAATACGCACAAATATTGTTTTTAAAAATTTCGTTTAATTGCACAATTAGACCTTATTACTTTTATATCAAATCTACGGTATTGCATGACACATTTCAGTTCAAAAGTATGACTATTAATTTATGCCTGCACCAGCTGAATTAGTATTTTTGAAGATAGATAGAACATTATCGTAAAAAACCTTTTACTCAAGACTGGACGTATAATACGCTTTGATTCGAACTACCATCTATGACAACCAGATATATATATATATATATATATCAAGAGTCCTACGATTTGTATTGATCTTCAACCGATGACGGCGCGAAATATTAATCGTAAGAGCATCTCACAGACATGATTCAAACTTTTGCTGTATATACCAAAGTCTTCTTCATCCGATTCTTGAGCGAGTTTTCATTCTAGACCTTACAGTTTAGTCGTCATATGGGAAAAAATGCTAAGTAACATACTTTTGACAAAAAGGGCTAACTCAGATGGATAAATCTGATCGGTAGGAAATTTCGAATTCTTCCGGACTCGAGCCCGAGTTCATATTTACAAGTAACTTCAGAGCTGGTTTATACTTAGCTTTGAATTTGTATAAGACTATGTGAAGGATGACAACAAAAAATAACTTTATTAACCAATAAATTGGCCAATATGTTGATCCTTTATTCTATCACGTACACTAAAAGTGTCAAATATGAGTGACAAGAACTTCGATGTGGACTCAGACAAAAAGGACAACAGGGATTAACGGTTCTCTGCTGATCTAATCTCGTAAAATCCGACTGTCAGATCTATCATGTTGGAATCATTACACCAATACTCATTTTATTCTTCTCCTTCTAATAATCCCAATAACATAATAATTCATCCTGATGATAATCTATAACAACAAAAATCCTTACCAAGTGCACGTTTAATTCTTTCTAATTCATAAATATTTTTTCCAATATTATGCTTTTCTTGAAACATATCATCAAATTCAGCTCTTAATTGTCTAAAATGTTTTTCTAAATCTTCATATGCCAAATTTCTTTCTTCAAGCTCTCGTAATAAATTTAAATGTACTGTTTCTTTTTCATTTATTTCACGTTCATTTTGATCACGTTCTTATCATAATTTATCTTGAAGAATTTTTTCATCGATGTATACGTTTATCAAATGAACGTTGTTGTTTTTCAACATCTTGTACTATTGTACGATAACGTTCTAATTCAACAGTAACATCACTAATATCATTAGAAAATTTCTGATTTGATTTTGTTGATTTTGTATTCAATAACTTTTCTTCATCAAGTTGTTTCAAAATAGTTTCTTTTTCACGTTGAAATTGTCGACGAAGTTCTTCCATTTGTTCAACATTAACTTGTTCAGCTTGTCGTCGAGGTTCATTATTTTGTTATGTTAATTGTATAAGTTTACTTTATAATTTATGTCGTTCTTCCGATTCTTTATCGTCTAATTGATCTTTATATTTATTAAGTAAATCTTCTGTATGATGAAGATGAAATTTAGTTAATGTATTCATTTGTTTTTTTTTATGATTTTTTTTCTTGAAGATTTTATCTTATCATAACATTTTTAATGTATATTCATTATTTAATATATATGTTGTTCTGTTTCAATAAATGCAGCATTAATATTTCCAATATCTTATTGATAATATTGTAATTTATCAAAGTGTCTCATTTTGAATTCATTCACTATTATTATATTTATGTTGAAGTTCTTTTACATAAATTTCAAATTGTCGACATATTTATTAGATATCTTGTTTTTTCTATATTGAAATTTTTTATTTCATTATCACGATTTGTCAGTTTATTTTCTTGTTATTGACAATCTTTAGTAAATGTTCGTTATTGTTTCTTAGTATTTTCAACTTGATTGATTAATTCTTCAATTTATTTTGTATATTTTAAAAGCAAATCATTTATAAAAGATTCATGATCTACATGTACTTGTTCTAAAACATGTTTTTATCTAAGAACATCTTCTTCTTTACATTTGCTTTTTTCACGTTCAAGTATAACTTCATTGATATGTTTACGATCGATTAGTTCATTATGTAATAATTCATTTTCTTTCATCATCAATTTGTGTTTTTCATATTCTACACATTTATATGATTCATTTTTACTTTTCTATATCATCTTATAAATCTTGAATGTTGTCATTTGAAATTCATGTACTTCTTGTTGAAATTTCACTTTAGTAATAGTTTCATTCTTAAAATTAAGTAGTTATAAGCTTATGTTAATTCTTTTTTCATAACGAATGAAATGAATTTATAAATCATNTAATACATTATTTTCAAAGGTATGTTTAAATGTCATATTGATTGTAGCAATTAAATGTATAAACCTATCTCTTAATGATATGGCCTGTTTTTTTTTTCTGAATTTACTATTAAAATACGTAACAATACCCAAAATCGAGAGAGAACGAAAAAGAAAAAAACTCAAATGAAATCGAGAGAAAGTATAATAAGAAAGATATATATATATATATTATACAGAAGGAAAGAAAAGAATGGTTAAATACTAAACAGAATATCAGAAAAAAGTACAATTGGTTAAATGTTTATGTTATCGATGCATATCGATCGAAAAGAAAGAATAACTGTTCACACACACGCCGATAGTTTAAAATAAAGCGCACATAATAGTATGTTATAATCTATTGATAAAGAAAAATATGACGAGAGAGTCATGTTTTTATTTTTACATTCTATTTATTTATGTAATGAAGAGTCTTCATTTATCCTATGTTAATTCGTGGTGGAAAACATAGTTCATATTTAACTACAATATTGGCATTTATTTATTGTTGTTTTAATTCTTATGTAATTGTCGAAGAAATTTTGGCATATCATATTTATCCAAATGATTATTTATTTTCATTACGTTTTATATCTGGTATGATTATTTTCTTTATTGGTTTTATTTTAAATCTTCAAGCGGATTCAATTTTAAGAAATTTACGTAAAGATAATAATCAACGTGATTATAAAATTCCAAGAGGTAATAGAGAAAAACAAAAGATTTTTTTTTTTTTTCGATATGAATTTAATGTTTTCTTTTTTTTAAAGGCGGTTTGTTTGAATATGTTTCTGGCGCGAATTTTTTAGCTGAATCTATTGAATGGACAGGTTATGCTATTTGTGCATGGACATTACCTGCATTTGCATTCTCAGTTTTTACATGGGCTAATATTGCATTCGGTCGTGCTATTCATCATCATCAGTATGTATAAAAATAAAAAATTGATATTCTATCTAATTATTAAATTATATTTAGATTTTATCTTGAAAAATTCAAAGATGAATATCCAAAAAATCGTAAAGCTATTATTCCATTTATTTTATAATTGACAATATATTATTTTTGTTAAATTTAATAAAGCAATTCTTTTTCTTTTTTTTTTTTACTTGACATAAATAATTTAGCTGAATTTTAGGATTCATTATATATTCTAGATGCCTCCTGGTCGAAAAAGTGTTAGTACAAGTAGTAAATCTTCATCATCAACAACTGGACAAAATTCTCCATCACAATTTCTATTTGGTAAATAAATAAAAGATTTATCTTAATATTATGTAATATTTAATTTAAATTTATTAGAATGTGGTACTGTTGTGTGGTGTAAATATAAAAAATACCCATATTGGCCTGGTATAATATGGGAGAAAGCACATAAACCAACTCGAACTCTGTATGAAGTACTTTTCTTTGGAACATTTAGTCTTGGCTTGTAAGTAAAAGAATTTTCATAAATTTTCTAAGAAAAAAAAAGATTTTTTTTTTTTAATTTAGAGGTATTGATCGTAAATGGTTAGAACCATATGAAGGTGTTGCTGAATTTAAAAAACGTATTACAGAATTAAAAGCTTCTGAAGTATGAAAATTTACTATCCTTTTTTTTGTGAAAGTCACATAGATTTTCGAAGAAAATACTGAATGGAAGTTTTAAGTCAAAGTATTACGGTTCCCCTATCCTTTGTGGACAATTTCCATAGAGTACATGGATATGACTTGTTTTCTATGAAAAACGCACTTTTTTTTTCTCTATAGAAATATTAAAGCCCAGTACTCAATAAAAAGTTGATGGAAAAGAAGTGAAATTCTTAAAAAGACATTTTCTATGTAAAATGCATCCGAGGACATGGTGAGCCGCTGTGTTACTAAATACTAAATATTTCGAGGAAGACATGTTCATTTTCGTTAAAACCTGCAAGACTATCTAATGACTATCAAACATAACTCTAGACATAATTTCAACTCGAAACTCTTTGTTTTAGATTGTTCGAAAATATCTTGCCTTCAGTCAATATTTTATTAAACCAGTCATAACTCTTCGTTAGTAGGAACAGATTTCGACAGCTGTATATGCTCCTTCAAGAGACAAAGAAACGTGGAAAACCTTTAAAAAACAAAGTTTTTTAGAAAATCTGTATCTGAATTCAGATGCATTTATGCATCTTTGTACTAATTGGAAACTTGACCATTTTTTGGGTCTAGAATTTTTCAAACCCTTAAGAAGCTAGAATCATTTTCTTTAATTAAAAACTCAACCATTGGCTATTATTCAAATCGCAAAAAATATCACTTTCACTTTTTTCACCCCAATGTCCACGCTGTTGTGCACTGTGATCGCCATTACAAATCTTGACAACCAAAGTTAAAACTTATTGAAGAATTTTTCATATCAATCTCAGATGTTAATCAATCATTTTTGATATCGCTGTCACTCGTAGTTAAGTAGGCTAAGCTTAAAGGTTTGCATATCCAACAACATTCGCTGAAATTTTAAGATGAAAGAGAGTAACAAGCTAAATATAGACTGTAGAACTGAGATACTAATATTTGCATTACTAATAATGAGGCAATCTTTAATGTACAAAAATATATGTGAGTTCCATATTTCAAGTTCGAAAATAGCTGCATTAACAAACTTTTTCTTTTTATTAAAATATCGATTTATTTAATAGGTTCTTGTTAAAAATAAACCAAGTCAATACGATATGAATATAACAATAGCAAATTTAGAATCATTTCAAGAAGCAATAAAACAAGCATCAAAAATTCTTAAATGTTCAAATCCTTCCGAAAGACTTGAATTAGCTGATAATATGCGTAAAGGTGTAACATGTGATTTTTTTCAACTTGAATTCGACGATGATAATGATGCTGATGATGAAGAAGATCATGATGAAACAAATTCAAATAGTGTCGAAGGTAGGAGTAAAATTTTTTCTTCGATTACTAAAACCATAAGAATCATTTAGATTCAATTCTATCAATGCCACCGTTACAAAATGATCAACAATTTATTCAAACAATGATGAGTCAAGGAAAAAGAAAGAGAAAATTAGAAGATGAAACAAATTTATCAAATACAAAAATACGTCGAATTACTATTAAAAATGAACCTGAACAAGTAATTTAAATATGTGAATAAAAAGAGAAAATTCATTTTTTTTTTTTTTTTTTTCAAAGCCATTAAACAATTCCCTACCGTCTATTTTATTTCGACATGCAACCGATCAACCAATTGTAATGTGTTCAAATTTTGTTTGTCATAGTTTATCACCAACTGAAGAAACATTTATATTAGATGCAATAACACGTTCTGGTCCTGATTGTACATTTTTTCAAGCTAAACAAATAGCTGAAGAAACATATTCAAATATAATCTGTGTTAATAATTCTAATCGTTCTTTGCCCGTTAGTGAAGTATGGTTCTATTTATTTTTCTATCTACATTTTGAACAATTATTTTCAACACATCTTCATTGGCTTGATGATCTTGAAAAAGCAAAAACAAATATTAATTATTTATATGAACAGCAACAGCAAATAATTCGTCTTATGAAAACTTATCTTCGTTAAATATATATCTGTTTTCTTTTTGTTGTTGTCTTTCTTGTGTGAATGTATATATATATATAAATATGCGTTGTATATTAGAAACTATTTTGTATGATCTGGACCATTAAAGAAAAGTGCGAATAGGTCAGTACATTGAATAAAATATTATAGATGTGCATACCATTTTCTTTTGTGTTTTTGTTTTGTTTTCTTTTTTTGGTTCTATATCTATACATATTTTCGATTTAAGATGGCAAATAATAGTAATATAGAAGAATCACGATGGAAATTATTAGATAAGGAACGATTTCAATCATTTTTTGATTCTGATGGTCGACTTGTGAAAGAACATGAATTTAGAAAAGCGGTTTTCAAAGGTGAGAGGTACGTCAGTGTACAGAAACATTAACGGAAAATACTCAATATTTACTTACAAATAGCATAAAAAGCAGTTCTTCATCTGAGTTTTCTTTTCTGTCGGACCAACTTAAAATCTCAGTAAGGCGAATACCATTTATTTTTGAGAGTGCAGGCACATAAAGAGTTGTATAATAACTACCGACTCCAGGAGAATAAACTCGATTTTCGTTGGTACAGTCATGCTTAATAAAATACTGCTTAAAAATCTTCATATTATTATTCCGAATTACACAATATAGTGAGCAACTCCTATTGAACATGTGAATATGCCTTATTTTCTGACAAAAGCTAGTTTTTTCTTCATAGAAAAGATCACTTTCGATGGAAAATCTCTGACCGAAATCTTTATCTCAAACTTATGTGAAAAAATTTTTATTTTAAAAATTTACGAATTGTACCTCACTCGATGCAGGTTTTTATGCTGATTCCAAATATGTCTTTATTTTTCTTTCAAAATACTTCTGTGATAAGGAAAATGCGAAAAATCTTTAAAAAAACAGGATTTTTAGGAAATTTGTTTCATAGGGCAGAAGCATTATCGCATCTTTGTGCCAAATGAGTATATGTTCCAGATATAGAAAAAAGAACATTTTCTGAAAACATTGTCTATATTTTTGTTTCAGAAGGAAAATTTTTCTTATACATCGACAGAGCAGAAGTCCTAGCTTCAGACTATATAAGATTTATTGTTCAACTCTTTCTATTTCTCACAAAAACCTGATATTTTTCTCTAAAGGTGCTGAAATTTGACCTGTTTTTGCGGTTAAATTTTTTCAATGAATTGAACAGTTGGATCAAATCTTTTTTTACCAAAAAATGAGTCAATAATCAAAGTATAAAAGTTTCTATTCTAATCACGAAAAGTCTCATTTTCATTTTTTTTTGCTTAACATCCCATGTTGTTGCCACTATGCATATGTATCATTACATATCCTCAAAGGGTTAACGTTCGAAAATTTAGTTGAATGTATTGTTAAATATTGAATAGTACTAACCTAGTGATCACATTATCAAATCGTTGATGAGTCTTACATTTGTTAAAGATAGTCATTCAATGTTATCAAGTGATATTCATAAATAGATGCTCCGACTGTATTTTCAAGATTGAGAAGTTCTTTGAGGAATTATTTATCGATATGCAACTGATATTTGCTAGAAACTAAATCAGTTGACAGCAAAAAAAAATCTTTTTTTTTTCATAATTATGCAGATGAATTTTGCTTGATAGTGAGTTCGAATTCTATTAGGTCTAGAAAAGAATATGACTCCATTTATAACTAGAAGTTGAATTTTAAATTATCTTGTATTCGCCTATGTCAAACTTCTTTTTTTCCCTTTATTAGTAAAATACTCTCTAAAAACTATTTTTGATTATTTAGGTGGCATAAATAATGATCTTCGACCACAAGCATGGAAATATCTATTCGGTTTTTATCCACCTCTTCTCTCAAAAGCGTAAGATGACTATATTCTATTACTCATTGATTATTATTTTTATTATGTATTAGAGAACAAGAAACTATTGATGTTGAACGTAAACTACGATATGATTTTATGTGTGAAAGATGTCAACAAGAAATGTCAGGAGAACGTAAATAATATTCGCATTTTTGTATAAATGTTTTTCTTCTATTTTACATGAACTTTAGTTCGTTCACAAATACCACATTTATCATCAAATAAATTAAAAGAACCACTTAGTCCAAATAAAATTTTCTTTGCTATTCAACAACGTATCGAAGCATATAAACCAAAATTTGATTGGTCGGAGATGGATTATCATGTACGACTTATTGCTAAAGATTTACATCGAACCGATTTTATATCATCAGAAAAAAAACCAGATAATTATAATTATGGACCACTTACACGTTTACTTGTTACATTTGCATGTTATAATCCAACAATTGGTTATTCACAAGGTATTTCTACTAATCGAATTAAAATATTTTGAATATTCTTTATGTGTCATAGGAATGAATGATATGGCTCAGAGTTTTCTTCATGTATTTTCTTATAATGAACATGAAGCTTATTTTTGCTTTGCTTATTATATAATTCAATCAGGTGAACATTTTACAAGACCAGGTATAGCAATTAAAATAAAACAATTACCAAAGCTTGTTGAAATTGTTGATCAATTATTATATGATCGAATTGTATCACTTAATGTTGAATTATGGACATTTTGTCATCGTATGTTTTTCATCAATTTTTCTTTTGTTATTAAAATTTTATTTTATGTTTTATTTAATATAGGATGGTTATTTTTATGTTTTCGTCGTGAATTTGCAGAAGAAGAAGATACATTAATATGCTTTGAAGTTGTATGTAGTCATTTTCTTGAAGAAAATTCTTTAGCTGCTGAACGTTTATTACATGATATACAATTAAAACGAGCTGAACAAATAGGTATAAGTAGTTATTCATCAAATTCAACAGAAATAAATTCTAAGCATAATGAAGAATATCCATATTCATTTGATTTATTTGTTTGTATTGCAATGATATCATTATTTCGTTCATGTTTATTTGATGCTCATGATGAATTTGAAGCACTTGAAGCAATTCAACAACGACAAAAAACACTTGATGTTCGACAAGTTTTATCATTAGCTGAACAACTTTTTAAAATATATTATCAACAAATAGCAACAATGTCATCTCCTTCATTGATTGAAACAACATCATATGAAATTATTGATTAGTCGTAAATACTAATAAATAGTTTCTATATTATTTATTTATTTATTTTGTATAACCGAATCGATTTCTATTTTCTTTGTCAGAATAAAGATATATTTATATGTTATAATTCAATCATTTTTGCTTTGCATATAAGGTGCCGAAAATGCAAAACTATAGTAGAAGTTTTATTCTCTGTATATGATTAGACAGAGCGTGACGAACTCATCAAAAATATATGTTCTTTGAGTTTTGTTTTCAGGTGACCTTCTTTTTTTGAAGCATATTCTCATTCTCTATAACCTATTAATTTTTACTTTTTTTTATTTTCTTGAAAATTCAAAACTATATTTCTTAGGTTTAGCATTAAAAACCGAAAACGCTCATACTCTTACTATTATTCAGAAATATGGTAAACAATTGATTTCGCTTTGTGTGACAAAAGATCTGCCATTTTATATTCTGCCATGATTGCAAAAACCAAATATGTGTCATTAAAAAATATTTCAAAAAACTCCAAAATGATGAGTTTCAAATGTGGAGTATGAAAATTATCATTGCTGAGAATACACACAATGAGAACAACTGAATTTGACAGTATTATAAAATACAAAAAAAAATATTTATCAAGTTGTCGATATTTAATCAATAATATCGAAGTAGGTTTCTTGACCACTTTTATTTCATCATTAATTCAATATCTCGGTAAATATTTTTTTTGTCTCAGTTTCGTTTTAGTTCATGTGCTTTTCCATGAGTTCAAGCCAATTAATGTCCTCAAAGTGCATGATCGAACCACGTTATTTCTTTAATTGCATTACTAGACAGCCTTTGTTTCAGGACGTTGTGACATGATGAGCACACGCAAAATTTTGTATTCTTCTTGCACTTTAACTTGAAATACGTAATAGACTTTCTATTTTAGACGATTCGTTATAAGTCCAATTTATTTTTAATGTTTTCTTCAATAATATATGAACTCTAATTGATATTACCTACGTTAGAAATATTCATATTGTCTCAAATTTCCTTAAATAGAAAAAAGTGCAACGAAAAATCATGTTCGTCTTTAGTGATTGATTCAAATTTCAAAACTAGCCATAAATATTTGATTTTGCAATACGGACAGAATATAAAATTGCGCATCTTTGGAAAGAAAAAAAAATTTCTATGATGCTCTTGAACGGAGATGCATGCAAAGCAAAACACATCAGAAAACTTTTGTTCTATCCAGTATGATGTGCGTCACACATCTTATCTTTCTTTACTTAATGAAAAGAAGCAGATTAGACATACTTATGTCTTTAGTAATAAGCACATTAAAAACTTTAAAAAAGTAATTGAATTTATGGCGGGAAAATCTTTATTATTTCAATTAAATGCATTATAAATCTGTTAATTATTTGTTTCTTGTTACTATAAAATAGAGAATGAAATGTTTAACAAACATCAACTGTTGTTTCGTTCGGAATATTTTCAGTAATTTCAGCAACTAAAACTTCATTATGACGATTGAAAAGTTTTGTTGGCATATCATATGTTGCTGAAATAACTTCTTCACGATTAATTGCAAATGCTTTACATAATTCTAATATATTACTACTTTCTCTTTTCCAATCATTTTCTTTAGCAAAACCACCAAACCGTTTTGCATAAAAAATTTTTTCCGATTGATGATAAATAAAAACACCATCAGCAGTTGGTAATGGTGGTGAATTTATATTATTATCTTTATCAAGTAGTAACAATATTGTAAATTGATTTTCTCCATCAGCTATTAACGATGGATGAACTTTAACCATGATCGGCAGACAAATTTTTAGGATTTTACCTAGAAAAAAAAAATCTTCTTATTTCCAAAATAATATCAAAATATGCAATTTTACCATCGACATTTTCACCTTGTGTATATTTAACAAGCTTCCATAAATTAGACATCACAGGTTCATCACCAGCCTTAGCAGAAAATGCATATGCCACACATGTAAATGAATAATAATGTCGTTTCTCGTAGAACTAATTGATTGAAAACAATGAGATAAAATACTTTAATGAATATAGACAATACCTTATTACTTTCGAGAAGGTCATATTTTGGCCATTCGGGATCAGCGAGTATATTTGAATATGCAGATGCAGCTGTACGTAGCCAGTTCATTTTTTGTTTATATCACACCTTTTTGTTTTATTTTTTGTCTGTACTGGTCTTATATGATAGAGTAAAAATAACAGCATATAATGAAAGATAAGAATTTCTTTTTTGTTATGTTGTCACGATAAATCATGGAACAAAATTTTATTTCAACCATTAGTTACAGACACTTGGAAGTGATCTATTCATACTAATGGCTGTTGCGAAAAAAAACAATGAAGAAATGTCGCGAGAACATAGAGCAGCAAAGGAGTATGATTCTTGTTTTTTTTAAATTACAGGTGCTTATATGGTACAAGATAGAATCGCAAAAAAAATCTTCTGGTGTCTTCAATCCACTGACAATAAAACATGAAAAAGGATAAAGAGCAAACGAGAGAGAGAGAAAGGAAGATAAACTGTACACGCCTACACACAATTTCTTTGTGTCTGATAAAAGCCTCTTTTGTGCTCGCTTAAATTTTCAATAATAATAATAGTGAAAGTGAGAAAAATCTGGTTTTCTTTTTCAAAAATGTTTCTAGAAAAAAGAAAAAGGAAAGAAGAAAAAACACGAACACAAAATAACCTGTAATAAAGAAATGTTGCTAATACATGTATGTGTTTAGAAACAATAATAAAAAGAAAGAAATAAACAAATCGACAATGTTCTACATATACATATATAATCTTTTTCTCTTTTTTTATCGCAAATATTTGTTCAAGTCAATAAAGGCACAATCTGGTATGTTATTTTTGTGCATTAACTTGTCACATTCATGTAAATAACCAACAAGTACTTCAAGAGCAGGATGCCTTGGCATATCATGTGCTTCTGTAAAATACATAGATAATGTTAATATGTGTTTATCTAATATATATATATATATAAAGAATATTTTCATTTACATACCGAGTATAGCACTGTTAACTGCACTAGAAACAGTTTCACGTTGAGAGGGTTCTAATAGATGAGCAAGTGGTGATGATTTTGGATCTGAGTAAGCTAATAAACTGAATGCATCCTAATAAAATAAAAGATTTTTATAAGTACTTTTAAATCAAAGTCTTTTATTAATCATTCGTACATAAGTAAGTAATATAATATCTCAGTCATTCTCATAAGGTTGACGTTAGATCGAGACAAAATAGATAGAATATAACCGATAGCGAAAAACCTTGGCACAAAATATTCGTTAATTTTCCAGTCTATAGAAAACAATTGAAAGAGCTAGAATCAGAATTTTTCACTATTTTCGAATATATGTTTAGATTATAACTGTTTTGATAAAGTCATTAATTTATGTAGTTTGTCTTGGAACAGTTTCAACTCATCATTACAGAAATCTGCACGAAATAAGATAGTAGAATAAACTAAATCTTATCTATGCATTTCCACTAAAGAACTATTTTTTATAGAAATCAGCATTAGTGAAAAAATTGCTCCTTTTAAAAATTTCTTCAATCTGTCATGTAAAATTTTAAAAAAAGAAGAGCAAATAGTATATGAAATATTATTTCGCATTTTCAATAAAATAGACTTCAATCGAAATACACAATCGTATTCTGTACAATCACTAGTTTGGACCTTTTGAAGCAATATGAGGAAGCTTATTCAATCTAAACTTGAAACCAGCCAAGTTTTTTCTAATCGAACTGCACCGATTCCACGTATAATCCAGTCTAAATTGATAGAATATGTAATAGAAGTTACTTATTATCTTATGACTGCATATCCTACACGGAGTAATCTCCTCTTTCGAGCGAGATATTAATGACAGTTTAAAAAGGAAGGTAAAATTATGTTGGATAATATTCTTTCAATAGGGTTAAATATCGTTTTGTTATTTTTTTCTAAAAAAAATTACTTGAAGCATTTTATCATTTTGTTGATTATCACCATGTTCAGTGGTTAATTGTTGTTTAAGTGCATGTAATTCTCGACCAAATTGAAGAATTCTAACAAGAAGTTGATCATCTTCTTTTATTATTGACTTTTTCTGTACATCAGATGACATTGTTGTTTCGATATCCATTGTATGAGTTGAATCAGTATAACCATCATATTCCATACCATCAATAATATCAGTTGATTTTGTTGAACATCCATTACTATTCATATTGTGATCGACGACTAGATTATCGTTATCATCGTCTAATAGTGAATGGCCATTAGAGATTTGATTTGTCGAAGAAGAAGAAGAAGAAGAAGAAGACGAAGACGAAGACGAATGAGGATGAGATACTGTTCCGTGATTGCTAAAACCATTTGCTGTATTATTATCATGATGATTATCATCAATATCCATAAGATTAACAACAACATTAGGATTTATATTTGATGGTATGGAATTCACTGTTGTTGTATGACTATTTGATTCTGACGATTGACATGGAATTAGTGATAAATTTGATTCATTATTAGTTTCTACAAAAAAGCAAACGTAAGTTTATTTTATAAAATATGATAAAATAAATTTACCTTGTGATAATTCATTAGGATTATTTGCACTTGATCGATGAGATGAAGAATTGATTGTACCATTGCTATGTTGTTGTGCCCCTGATATAGTAGTCGTTTGTGCACGTGCTGATGTATATGGACTATTAGAACGAGAACGTAAAGATGTATTGGTTTTTGTTATCGGTGATGACGAACGTCCACTAGTTGTTGAATGAGAATAATTTTTATTAGCTAATGATGATGAACAAGAAGGACTGTTCGAACGATTTTTATTATTAACAAGATGATTAGTTGGTGATGGACAATTTGTTGTTGTCGTCGTAGTTTGTGAAGATGTAGATGGTGCACATGATATTGATGTTTTACGGATTTCACTTTCAGTTCCATTAACCATTTCAATAAATTGACGAACTTTAAGCACAAATAAAAGATTTTTATCATTGAGCAATGTAGGAAAAAGTTCTTTCGTTTTATCAATTGCATCAGTTGTTCGACCATCAAGAATTAAATGTTGGATAACTAAAAATATATAACTTAGGTATTAAAAATTTTACAAGTAAATTGAATTCTTTAGTCATAATCAAAAGATTTTATTGTCTTGTAAACTTTCTAAACAAAGTTGTTAGCGAGATTGTTTAATTCTATCTATTTTGGGACACATTTCTCCACCATACTTTTACTTAATCGTCCAGAAATACAATAAGAAAGTAATTCATATATTATAACGAGACGTTATAGTTTGTGATGACTCATTTTCTAAGTATTTGTCGTATTTGTGGGGTGCAGAGCGAGTTTCTACCTCTACGCTTCAACACACTCTTTTTAGGTCGTATTCCACACAATTCTTTTCTTTTTCTGTTGTTATATTTACGTTGTCTATTGCGCATGGAGTTTAGTTCGTCAGCATATACACTTTCGGCATTTTTATTAAATTGTTCAGCTGTAGCACAATATCCATAATGGACGAGATAAGTTGAAACAATACGGCGTAATTGTGTTTGATGTAATAATTCGCCTTCTTTCAATGTACATTCAATTATTGCTCGACGAGTTTTTTCACGATATTCCTATTTCGTTATAAATATCATTATTATTTTTTCTCTTAAATGACTTTGAGTTTTACTTACATCCATGTATTTTTCTATATCGAATTTGAAAGGACTAAGACCAAAATTAGCTTCAATTGCTTCATGAGGTGTTTGTAAACCAACTGTTGGATAAATTTCTGTCTATAATGTAGAACAAAAAAAAAACATAAGAGTTTGATAAATTTAATAAAACAAGAAATCTCATACCGGTATATCTTTGAAAGATGTACCTAAAAGAAAAGATAAATGTATGAATTGATTTATATTTTTTCTTAAGAAAAAAAAATGTTTACCAAGATTGTAACCATTACGAGTATAGAAACAGGAATTTTCAAGAAAATTGACACAACAACCAACATAATCGCCTGTTGTAAATGTTGGTCCATAGACAATACCTGAACCTGATGAACAAAATGAATGACCATCATCACCGTGATAACCATATGAGCCTTTATCCCATCCGGGTAGACGACTGAGATTCACTTCACTTGTCGATAGACCGATTCCCATATATCTAATTACAAACAGAAAAAGAAAAACACATCAACATTTCAAAATTTTATCATTCAGAAAGTAAATGTTTTCATCTTGGTAAAAAAAAGATAAAACAAATCCAAATATTGTTTATTCCTTGATGATCTACGAATATAAATGCATCGAGTTAAGTACAGATTTCACTTACAATAATATTGTCTGTTGGCCCTGTCAGACAGATTATGTCGCATCTTATACAGAACAAGAAAGGGCAAAGTATTGTTGACGAGTCCTTTCTTCATCAGGAAAAATAAACGATTCAAAAAACAAAAAACTTATATAAAACTAATAGTCAATTATATTTGATATTTCAATTGTTATCAAAAATCATAAAAATAATAACATGTTTTCCACAGAAGTTTGGTTTCGGATCAAATATTTTTTTGAACGAATATACCTGCCCTTAGGATATTCAGAATCTTTATCATAAATCATAACTCTGATGTACACATAAGTCTTTATCTTTGATTAAATATTGATGAACTTGCTAAGATGAAATAATTACATTACAAAAAATAATTCTCAATATGTGCAATTTTTTTGTTTTCGTTAATACATAAAAAAAACATCATAGACAAAAAAAGATAAGTGAAACTTACCCATCACGGCCTTTGCTTAAAATTTTCACTTCAAAATAGTATATACCGGTCAATGGTGGAATTGGATAATCCGAACGAACACTAGCTGCATCTTTATGTGTTTTACCCGGTCCTTAAAAATATAATTCAATAATGTTGATTTCTACGGATAATATTTCATTAAATAATTTACCTTTATATGTTACAACAAGGTCGTTTTGTTGAAGAATTAAAGTTGATGCTTTATCTTTTCCATTCCATTTTGTTGGTAAATGTATATCATCACCAACATGTGGATAAAGTTGTGAAAGACGTTCATATCCATTTTTAATATTCGTAGTCCTTGCAGTCGTTGTTGTTGTTGTCGTTGATGTTGATCTCGTTGCCATTCGTGATGATGTTAGTGTTTCATTTGTATTATCTGTCATTTTTTGAATTTGTCGTGATAATCGTCTTCGTCGATGATGTTGAAGAAAAAGTTTGATGAATGTAAAAAGAAGATAAATTATATTTGAAAGAATAATTAAACAACATGAAATATATGCGTAATTAACCGAACAACTTTCATCCATTCCATTGTTGAAAATAGTAAGATTGAATGATAGTATTAATAGCTAAATGAACAAATAATATATAAACAATAAATAATAACAACAACACAAATCAGCTGACGGTTCGTATGTCGCGTCTATGCAGTCACGAAACGAGATGGCGTACGAATCGCTTTAATAAAAGTTTTCCTGTTTATTTTTCTGTTATTTATGTGGAATATATTTATTAAAAAAAGTTTTTTTCATCTACGATTTATATCAACAAATGATTTAGCAAGTACTGTGGCTATTAATAAACCAATTGAATGGAATTATTTAATCAAGTGGCTTGAAAATGGACAAAAACATCCACTTTGGCGTGATGAACAACAAACTCAAAGCTATATTGAACATCAAAAATTAGTTTCGAAAGAATATAGATCAATCAATGATTTTATTCGTATTAATTATCTTAAATGGGATGTAGATTTGGATAAATCTAGTCAAAAACGTATTGCTATTCCAAGTGTAAACTCCATTAAAGAAGCACTTTTAACACCAAATGCTTTTCCATATTATTTAGCTGATGGTATTCAACATTGGCTTATATGGTGTGATCCAAAACCAAAAGAACCAGAGAATATAATTGAACAAGTCATAAATAAAGAATTCGATTTGGAAAAGTTTGAAAAGCTCTCTTTTATTAATCCACCACGTTTAAGATCTATTTCTGATGTATTTCATGTCCATGTATTCACAAGAGCAATAAAAAGATAATTTCTTCGATATTTAGTTCTTGTATATTTCTTTAAATGAAAGCATAACTAATTGATAATAATGATACAATTTCAAAGCGTCTAAAAGTAACAAATTCATCTATGAATGGCTAATGATCATTTTAATAATTGAAACAAATAAATATTTGATTAGATTTTTTAAGAGATAAAAAAAGATAATACTTTCGATTTCGTTTATCAATAAATTTCTATCATCAATTAATGTTAAGAATAAAGATTCTCGACTATTTGCTAGTTTTTAATAAAATATTTAAAACGTAGGTATTTAAATTTGAGTAAAATAAAAATAAGAAATCATCTAATCTGAATCAAATATAAAATATGAAAAAAAAACCAACAAACTAAAAAACAAAAGACTATGAATGATATGACTATGTACCTCATTGCTAAAAATGAGTTCGCTGAAACGAACATTATCGGAACCTAAGATCATTGAAATAAAGATAATCGAATTCTTTTCGTTTCGATTTTGGACATGCACTATATAGAGAGAGTGGCTATTGAACTTATGATATTTGCAACATGAATTATGACCAAATCTTTTCTTAGTTACTAACTTAACTTAGTTTCTAGCTTAACTTAGCGCGTCATATGTCACTGACGAACACTTAAGACGATCAGAATAATTTTGAAATCTTCGAGAATTATCTCGAACATCCTAAAACCTTCTAGATTCTCATGGTTTTTATCGAATATTTAAAATACATCTACCTTAGAATTTAAAACGTCCGAAATCAGACATTAAAGAACGAGAATCAATAGTGAAGACAAAATACTGGTGCACTTTGAACGAGAACTTGCTACTATAATCTTATTGCTCTGTATACGATTGGGAAGACATATAATAGTGATACTAAGCTGTATGAACCGTTAAAATATGGTCGAAGTAGGCTCAATCAGTTGTTTAACGAGTGTATAAAAGACTTCATTTTGTACATAATTATTTCATATTACTATTTCATTTTCATGACATTAAATAAAATCAATCAAATATAAAAGAACCAATGGCTATCACTCATTCTTATAGATATAGATGCATTCTTTTAAAAAAGCTGTTAAAGCAATCCCTTGCGGGATTAAAAATGTGAAACACGATGAATCTATTGTTACTAGTTAAATGGAAATCGTTTTGTTCCATTTCTTTCGATACATTTGTAGCTAACCGTTTATCTAA